TATATATATATATATATATATATATATATATATATATATATATATATATATATATATATATATATATATATATACACACACACAGCAAATATTTAGTATTCACTGTCCAGTTTGTAATGGCAAATATGAAAATAAATACAGGCACATTTGCAAGACGCAAAACATATAAAAACACATGCATCATAGCACTGCACATGTGTGCAAGTTATTTTTTAAATCTGACTGATAGATAGTCAGAACAGAGTTTTTACATGTTTACAATTTCCTATTGATCTGATTATTTCAGGTCTACAATGAAATTGTAAAATTGAAATCAGATCAAGCTTACAGGAAATTAACGTTCTTAGAATTGACAAGACGGTTGACCCTGAGTGGTCAGCTAAATATCTACAGTGGATCTAAAATATGAATAGTTAATTATAACTAGTTATGGTTAATTATTCATATTTCCTGTCGTTGAGCTAAATTCGCTACAGTCAAGTCAATCAAAGTGTTTAAAATTGAGCCATCAATCCAATTTGGGTGCATGTAAATGTATGTACTGTTATCCCTTTTTATTATTGAACTGTTGTATAAAAGCAATATCACACATTTGGAGCGACTCATCTCTCTCTCTCTCTCTCTCTCTCTCTCTCTCTCTCTCTCTCTCTTTCCTACTGCTCTGCAGGTTTAGTGGACTAATGACGCCTGACTGTATTCCTTGACACCTGCAATTTTCTGCTTGCACATCAGGCAGGTCCCATTAAGAGACCAACCATGGCCTGTCTCTGATGTAACAGTCAGAATGACTTAAATTAAGAACTAAATGCATAGAAATCGATTCACACAAATGCTATTTTATTTGAAGTCATTTTATCGCAGATGGACGGGAAAATAAAGAGCTGGACTCGCTGCAATGTGTCAAAAACTGTATAGTGTGTCCATCAACTGAAAGCACATTGCCGTAATGCTGCAGACAGTTCAGTTGATCATACTGTGATTGAGCTTGTTTTACATGTCAGGCATCTGGTGGAAATATGCATATCCAAACTTTGCTGACAGAAACGAGGATGAAGGCTTTGTTCCTTTTTGTAGATGTGCGATTACATGTGTATTTTAAGCCTGTAATAAATCATCTGGAGAAAAAATGGTATATAAGGCTACTAACCATCCCTATGAGAACTACTGTACTGTATGATATAACATTACAGTAGCAGTGAAAATTGATGTATGGGCCATATTTAAAATAAACTATAACACTATGACTGTATGAAACTACCTACCCTAAGGAAGGTACAGATTGAGACCCTGTCTATAAGTTTTTGTATCATGTTTAAATGGATGAATATGTGTGTTTGCGCATGTTATACCTGTGACCCTCAGTTTATCTGTGCCAATACTGATCTCCTCTTCATCAGCAGAGAAGAGAACTCTCTCGCCATCACTACTTTTCACCTCAAACCGCTGACACTGGGCTTCTACCATCTCAGAGCCTACAGAAAGAGAGAAAAAAGAATAAAGCCTTGAGAAACAAGATCATAACACATATTTTCACCTTTGCAGTCCACATAAACCTCATCCAATCAGGAATGGAGGAATAATGGACATGGGGTGTTATACAAAAACAATGGTGGATGTTAATAATAATAATAATAATAATAATAATACAAATATTAACAATGTATTATTATACGTTATTCAGTACTGTGTCCAGACAGACAACCTAATTTAATTACATTTCATTTTCAGTTATGTTTCTGCCTTAGAAGACAGCTGACAATATTGACAAAAAGGAAGCTCACTAGGTTTCTGAGTTAATATTAGAGCAGCTGCTCATTGTTTCCAGGGTGTTTAAAGACTTACTACAGTGTCAAATTATAGAAGTGTTTGTATGCTTAATTAATATGCTTTTAATATGCTAATGTCTTGAGTAAAAAAAATTTAAAATTAAAAAAATAAGTCCTGATGAAGTCCTTGACCACAAGAGAGAAAAAAAGTAATGAAACACATTTTATTCTGTCCAATAAGTAATAATTTGTACACGAAAAATAGCATAATAAGAGACCTTCTTCATATGAAGTGAACTGAACTGGAATTCGACTTCACTGAAATGTATAATCGGTTGTAAAATACAAACAACAAATTTAATTTAATGACACATGGAAAGGGTTTCAAATACAATATTATTCAGATACTTGTTTTAAAAGGTTTCAGAGCTGTGTACCCACTATCATACATTTATGAAAATATCTAAAAGCCTATTTAATTCATATTTAACTTAAATAGATTAAAAATGATCTTCAATTAAGAAAAATTAATGAATCTTGATGAATTAGTTTATTACAAACACACATATTTTTGCTTTACAAGATGGTATTGGATTGGATTTGTGTGGATTATTGTGATGTTTTCATTAGTGGTTTGGACTCTCATTCCGGCGGCACCCATTCAGTGCAGAGGATCCATAGGTAATGATGTAATGCTAAATGTCCCCAAATCTGGGGGGTTAACTAGCAAGAGCTGAAATGTTGCAAATAAACACTTCTGAACATATTTAATTATGTAACCAAATTAATTTCTCTTTTCTTGCTGTCTATACTTTCAGTTCTGTTGCCTGTTATATCCCATGTCTCAAAAAGCAGAGTTGTCATAGTTATTTCAGTTTGGGATCTGAAGGAGCCCCAGATCAACATGTCTTTTACAGTTCTTTTACTCAGCAGGAAGTTGTTGTTCCTGCTGTGCTTAAACATCTTTTCACAGACCTAAAGACACAAATGTAGAGCACATCTTCAGATTTTGAAGTTATATAAAAAAAGTTTTTTATTTTTTTTTCAATACAAATAGATTCAGTGTAGGATTGGGCTAAATATAAAAAGAAACATGCTGTTCATTAATTAATTGCTTATTCTTTCTCTTATATTTTATTCTCTTGTAATTAGGAAGATCTGTTTCATATCAGTGAAAGTCTCACATCATTTGATAACTTTGGAGGGTGAAAAAATAACTGAACAATGAAATTGGAAAAAAAAAGTACAAATTATGTTGGATAGTGATTAAATACGTGCTTGAGGATAAGGCAAGTCTAATTGTGATTATGCTGATGAGACAAAGAGGAGAAAATTCTAATAAAGTGTTAATTTATACTCATATTTGATTAATCCTCTCTTGACCATATCACTGCACAGCGGTGGCCAGAGATTTGCTCATAGATTCACTACAGAACATGATTATCTTTAGAGAGGTTGTGACAGAAACACACCACAGGATTATATAGGGACAGATTTGCTTCTTTCTTTCTTCTAATTTTTTTTCCTTTCTTTATGTCAAAAACAGCTCTGGTAATTAAAGTTTTGAATTGTGAGTTTGTGGCATATCCAAAAGACCAAGCTGTCTGTGCATTTACCAGAGAAACTGAAAAACTACTGACAAATTAAAAGGAATATTGTTTTATCATGGCCCAATTGGGTCACTGGACAATTGCATGTGGCATTTTTTTAGGCTATATATATTTTTTTCCCGCTTAACGGGTCTTTAGTGGCCCAGACATTAAATTCCTGCAATTAAGAGAAAATTAAAGTTCATTAGGTCAAAATATAAACATTAAAATACAACATATTTATTAGACCTCAGTAATTCATATTTAAAGCCATGTTGTTCACAACAGGTTATTACCTCATATTTGTTTGCATGATTCAAGAGCTCAATGTTCGCGTGTTTGATTACTTCAGTGATTGTTCTCAGTTAATGTACATGTAAGGAGTAAGCACTCATTATTTGGACAAGGACATCCTCACTTTCATAAAGCCATCCAGACTGCACCATCTCACGGATCTCACAGTGCCTTCCACTCATTTAGGTGATTTAACACTACCAAGGCAGTCATTTTTACCATTTTTAAATTTTGAAATGTAATAACTTTGTTGAAATAAAACCCATATAACTATAATACCCTGACTTTTCCTAAATGTGTGCATATTTTATTACAACATTGTTATTTTATTATAATTACAAAACACAAAAGACTTCACAAAAGTTTCTACCTTGAATGGCTAAAGCAGTCAAATTGACCGTTCGCATTACAGATGGCGTATAATTTCTGCTTTTGCAATTTTTTTCATGAATGCATGTCACTGTTACCTAGAACTTTTGTTCTAGTTGTTTTTATATTCAATTGCTAAGCTAAAATTCCTGTTTGTAAAAAAAGTCGGGTGGATACCTCCAATACAACAACTGCTGTCATTCAATATGCCACGGTTCCAGATATGTTAGGCTGGAAGGCTATAGCCTGGCTGTTATCAATAATAGCCTACTTCAATGTTATGACAAAATAGCCATAATAATAATAATAATAATAATAATAGTGGCTATTATTATTTTTATGCTATTCTAATGCATAGCCCCGACAAGACTGATATTGTGAAATAAAACAAACTTAGGCTTTTCTAGCAACAGTGATGATGTTTATTATTACTTATAATATCATAACAGATCCGTGGCTGCACATAATTGTTTCCGATTCATGTTATCCAAACATTTCCAATAACTCCAGAGCGTTGTAAAGTTAAAAAGTAAAAATGTATTGAAAAAAGTTTTATGTAATAATTTCCAAAATTCACAACATGTTTTATCTACAGAAATATTCTGCTTCCATTCATATTTGTTGGCATTTAGACTTTCAAACACAAAATGTTCACTGCGGTGAAAAACTTTTGCTCTCCCGCTTGCCGGACACAAAGCGAGGCACGCACATTCGGGAGCAGTCTACGTAGCTCTTGAACAATTAAATGTTACAAAAAAAATATCATATTTTTAGGGTGATTATGTCATAAACTATGATGACAGACATTCAAAGCTTCATTGTAAAACCTCAAAAGAAGCTTCAAATGTAAATATGATATGACAAAAATGGCATTCAGTTCAGTCTAGTATGAACGGTCAGAATGACTGCTATGGCCATTCTAGTAGTTATAGAATTCCGGTAGTTCTAGTGTTAAATGAGAAATTATACGCAGCGGATATTAATGAACCACTCTTGAATATTAATTGATACTGACTTACCCCTCATCAAAACTGAAGATTGATGATTAATTGTTGTTTTGAGGTTGGAGGAAATGGAAGTTTTCCCTCGGAGTGAAATGGAAAGAATAAATGACCTTGCTGTGGAAAACCACACGGTGTGGTAAAATGAAGAGGCGTTTGTTTTATTTCAAAAATAATGCAGGGAAAAAAAACAAAAAACTGACATTTGTTAAGTTTGTCAGTTGAATTCAAAAACTAACTTGAGGGAAGCATCAGTCAAGGCCTTTCACAGCATAAGATGGAAAATGCAATATAAAGGTGTTCTTACAACAAAGGGGTTTCAATATTCTATAGAATATTGAAATCCCTTTGTTGTAAGAAATGCTGTAGAATAGCAATAACTTTGCTATACTGTATATATATATATATTGTATTATATATATATACAGTGGGACAATGGGAGAACTTGCACAATTGTTGGCTGACTAAATACTTTTTTCCCCACTGTATATATATATATGATTAAAGAAAGCAACAAAATGTAATAAAAATGACAACAAAAATGACTCAATACTCAATTTATATATAAAAAAAAATCTAATCTAATTTAAAATATTTACAAAAACTATAATAGTACATCAATGATAATTTAAAAGTAATTATTTATCTAAAAGTAATTATTTATTATTATTGTTTTAGTAATTATTTATTTAAAAATAAAAATTATGTATCTGAACTGGATAATCCTCATCAATAAAAAGGCGAAATAGGTGAATTCTGACCGCCTGCATTAATCAGTGGGTGTGTGTGCATGTGTCTGGGTGTGGTTTGTGGACAGTGTAAAGAGACAAATAATCAGAGCTGTTGTCATAATCAGCAAACAGAGCCCTGAAGACTGATGTGTGTATTTGTGCGCATTAATCTCCATATGTCCTTTAGGTACTCTCTCTCTCTCTCTCCTTGGAGAGTTTAAGCTCACTACCTCTAAGCTGCAATGTGGCATTGCAAATGATGATATTCATTTAAAACTAGCAATTTATTCTGGCTAAATTTCACAACATAAAACAGCACATTAAATTTCTAAACGTTCCTCTACATGCACGCACACTTTGCCAATGTATTCTTATCATGATTAATTACTTGGAACTAATCACTCACATCACTGGATTTTTGGTGCTGTGAAACTTATAATTGGTGACTTGAGCACTTTGAGATGGGTGTTTTTGAAATTTGCAGGTATATCTATATTTAAATTGGTTCCCTTATGCATTGCAGTGGATGCAGTGGATTAAAAACTTTTGAAATAATACCATGTTGAGCTCTCCTTGACTGACTGAAATTCATACATGTATACATAACATAACATAACATATTCTGATGAAACTTCATCTAGAATTGTTGTCCTTGAAGAGCCTAAATGCACCAAGCAAATCACGGTCTCTGCAACTTTTAATGTCATGTTGATTTGAAAATG